TAAAGGCAAAGCATGGAGAAGGCATAACCATTTCCTCTTTCTCTTTTTGGTGACATTCGCTTTAGAAAAATATTTTTTCTTTATCTCCAAAACATATTACAAATTCAACTGCTTCTTATTACCTTGACCATTGTCACCTCAATCCAAGGTACTTTTATCGGCCTGAACTTCTGAAATAGCCTCCTAACTACCATCCCTGATTTCTGGGCAACTCCTTCCCCCCAGACTGTTCTTCACATGGCTGATAGGGTGATGATTAAAAAGATAAATCAGGCCTTGCCACTGCCTGGTGCAAGTCACCATCATTTACTTTGTTTTATATTTAGAATAAAATCCACCCTTCTTTAAAATAGAAATTATATATTCAAATTACCCAGGGCACTAGGACTCAAACTTGGCTGCATATTTGAACCTCTAGGCTAGAGAACTGTACAAATTACTGATGCTGGGCAGACATCGCATCTCCAAAGATTTTTTTATTTAATTAGTATGAGCTGTAGTCTGGACATTAAGGATTTTTAAAAGCTCCCCAGGCTTTAGAAATTCTAATGTGTGACGTATATAATAATTTTTAAAATGTCTCTTTTTTTGTAGCCCACAGGACTTTAATTAAGACTTTTGAGACTTTGGCCTCAGTGGAGGGCAGTGGTGATTCAGTGGTAGGATTCTCGGCTTCCGTAAGGGACCGGGCAGGGTTTCATTCTGTTGTCCACCAGGTTGCCATGAGTTGGGGGCCAACCTGATGGCAGTTAACAACACAACATAGTGTCTGGGTAAATTTGAGACAAAAATATTTCCTTGGCCAGATGATACATATCATTAGGAAGAACGTGATTTACTATGGTTGAGTAAAAAGTAATACACAAGTGAACAGATTAATAATTTAGAGAAATATTTAGTGGGAACAAGAGTTTCCCTGAATTGATTTCAATGAAAAGGACTCCAATGTAGATAAACTGTTTTTAATGTAGACAAATTTCAAAAGAGATTGACAAATGGCTGATATTTGTTGCTACTCAAAAAAAAAAAAAAGAAAGAAATCGAAGAAACAAGTGACAATCACAATCACCACCAACAGCGTAGCTAACATCTAACTTATCCCTGTTATTTATTATTTTATCTGACTAACATAAGGACTATCACTGATGATTCAGAAATTATCACCTAATTGTCAGCTGGATTTTAGACATTTTGCTATCTTTCGCAGCTAATTGGCAATCCTGATCTCAAGTGGGGTCAATATTGTAATAAACTTCTGATTAACTGTAAAGCTGAATGTAACCTTTTCCAGTGGATCACTAAGTTGGGGATGGGGAGAAAATCAATGCCAGAAATACTGAAGTAATCATGACATTTCATTTCTACCTGGAATCTTTGTATTTTATATTTGGGCCATACTGTCAGACAAAGAAATGTAATCATCCAAAGGCAACTGACGAAAGGAATGAATGAGAACGTTAACTACTGAACTCCAGATAAAAAGGAACAGTTACTAAGCTGTTTACTACATAGTTATGAAAGCTATGCTGTTGTTTAGCTATTGACTAATAATTTTGCCATGAATATAATTTACAGAATAAAAGAATGAGAGGGTATTTTTAGTTATCCTTCTATGCTTCTAATAGCCTTCGTAAGCACTAAGACAATTCTAAAAGAATGTATCACTTTTTTTCTATTTAAGTGATAGTTTAATTTTTAAGTGATAGTTTAATTAATAAACATGTCAAGTTTATTTTTAAGTGATAGTTTAATTAATAAACATGTCAAGTTTATTGCTGCAAAAACTAAGTAAATAAAAGAACGTATCATAGTTCTCATAGGTTGTGATAATAAAATTACAGCATTCTTTCTACTTTGTTGTATTTTGCAGTTTAATATGGCTTTTGCTCTATCTTATTTTCCTCCCCCATATCACTAAGAAAGCATGGAAGGATACCTTTGAGGTCCCCAAGGTTCTCACAGTCCTTAATAAGTACTTCACAAACTGACACGTGCCAAATAAAACTAATTTTTACTAACTACATAAACAAATACCTTTGCTTCAGTTGAGGGAGGTGCTCAATCACTTTCTAGTTGTGATTTACTCACCAGGAAATAAAAATCTGTAGGATGAGAAGGCAGAAAGCGATAGCAGCTGGCTGAATGGACATGGGAAACCCAGGGTGGAAAGGGGGAGTGTGTTGTCACATTATAGGGATGGCAACTAGGGTCATGTAACAATGTGTGTATAAATTTTTGTATGAGAAACTAACTTGAGCTGTAAACTTTCACCTAAAGCACGATTAAAAAAAAAAAAATTGTAGGAACATGAGACTAAGTCTTGTTGTTACAGCTGCCTTCGAGTCACCCCCGACTCATGGTAACCCCATGCGCAGCAGAACAAAACGCTGCCCAGTCCTGTGCCATCTCCATAACCATCCGCAGCTCACATCATTGCGATCCATAGGGTTTTCATTGGCTAGTTTTTGGAAGTAGATCACCAGGCCTTTCTTCCTAGTCTGTCTTAGTCTGGAAGCTCCTGTGAAACCTGTTCAGCATCATAGCAACATGCAAGCCTCCACTGACAGACAGGTGGTGGCTGTACATGAGGTGCACTGGCCACAAATTGAATTGAACCCCCGCGTCTCCCACGTGGAAGGTGAGAACTGTACCACTGAACCATCACTGCCTCATTTCTAACTCTTTGAGAGGCTTAATATTTTCAAATTATCATCTCATAAATTTTCTCGTGTTTTTATATTAGAATTGGTAATTTAATGTCAGTGTCACAGAAGCTTAGTTAACATATTTGAAGAACAACTGCATAACACTATTCATTAGATTGTTATCATCTACATTATCCTGAATGGCGAGGCTCCTTTTGAATGCATCTGACCATTTGCCTTGATCAAAAAAAGTCTGCTTGCCTTCCCTACAAGGGCAAGTGATACAGAGATCATTCCATGTACATGTTTCTCTAACATTTATGTTTCCTGACCTGGATCCTTCCAAGAAGATTACATAGGAGATAGGCTGATGGACCGCTTTGCCCTTCACAAGTGATGGAAAGTAAGGGTCCCATCTGCTTATAAGAAAACACTTGGGAAACAGATACCAGGCTGGCCGACATTTTTATTTATCTTGAAAAAATGGAAACCATTTTTCAGGTATCCCAATTCTTATACACAAGAGTTCAAAGTAGAAAGGGGAAAGTGTTATTTGGACCTTTAGTATCTAACTGAAGATACATTTCTTACTCATTTACTAGGGAAAATTTTTTTCATGAATACAAAATTGGTTTCTTTGTATGACTTCTAAGTATGATTCTCTTTCTTTTGTAGGCTAGTGGACTAACAGCCCACCACCCGTCTGTCCATTTGTTCTACTGTGGTGGCTTGCGTGCTGCCATGTTCTATGATGTTGGAAGCTATGCCACCAACTATACCACTCACAGCGGACAGGTTTCACAGGAGCTTCCAGACTTAGACAGACTAGGCAGAAAGGCTTGGTGATCTACTTCCAAAAATTAGCCAATGAAAACCTTATGGATCACAACAGAACATTATCTGATATAGTGCTGGAAGATGAGCCCCCTAGGTTGGAAGGAAGCAAAGGACTCAAGCGTGAGGATGAATTGGGCAGTGTTTTGTCCTATAGTACATGGGGTCACCGTGATTCAGAGATGAGCTTGATGGCAACTAACAATGACAAATGAACAGCGCGTTCATTTTCCGCCAGCAAGGAAGGAGAAGTGTCACAGGGACAAGGTTTAAGGACCGAGGAGGAACGTGGGCATCTACTGCTCAAGAGTTTGCTCACATCTCTCAACTCTCCTGCAGATGTCTGAAGTCATTTCCCTCCCAAAAAGTACCTGGGAGCCCGAAGTTTGAGGAGTTTTAAAATGCAAATAATCGAAAATATTTATATTTAAATTTCTTGCAGTATTTTTGCAGTGCAGATGAATGGTGTACCGGCAGACAAATGCAGACTGACTCTTGGAGAATCAAAAATCACAGAATGTCCACGCTGGACAGACTTTAGAGAACACGAGCGGCTGATTTCTCAGACGAGGGTGTGATGCTTAATGGGAATTTGGTGACTTGAGTGAAGATTTGAAATAAGGCTGATGCTTACAATTTAGATTTATTGAAATCACTTGCCAATGTTTTCAATAAGTTCGACTACTCTATTTTTAACTTTTTTCCATAAATATTATCATACTCTGCTTTGATTTAAAAAAAGTTACAACAGCCTCTCAAATATTATTAATTAGATATAAGAGAGGAGCAAAGTAAACCACACTTCTAAAAACAAAACATGACAAAACATATAAAAAGGAGAAAACCACTATTTTATGGTTGTTTGGAAAAACTGTGCTATATGGCCTCTGTACATATTATTTTAAAAACACTTTTTCCTAAATGTTAAGTAAACCCAAAAAAAAAAAAAAAACCATTGTTTTTGAGTTGATTCCAAGTCATGGCGGCGACCCCATGTGTTACAGAGTAGAACTGTTCAATAGGGCATTCTTGGGTGTAATCTTTACGGAAGCAGATCACCAGACCCATCTTCTGCAGTACCACCAGGTGGGTTTGAACCACCAACCTTTAGGTTAATAGTTGAGTGCAAACCACTTGCGCCACCCATGGACCTAAATGAAAAGTAGAAGTATTATAAAAAGTGCTATATAAAACAAAAGCAGTATAGCAAGAGCTCATGGACTTTGAGCCTCAAAAATTAGTGGGTTAGCATTTGGAGGCCCTATTTCATGAATTAAATCTATAGCTCTCCCATCTCTATACTTTTCTTAGCATAACTATTTGAAACTTCCTATTTTAGGTAAATAAAACTTTGGCTTGGAGTTCAGAGACGTTCTATAGTCATGTTTCTCTTTTTTTGTAATGTGAGACAAGAGTGAATTCCATGGATTCCAGTTATTTTCATGTATTTCAAACACACACCATCTGGGATGTTGTTCAATTGCGCTCAATGACGTCCATGGGCCGCGGCCCTCTGCTTACCCCTCACAATAAGCTGACTCTGATGCTCCACTGCTGCTGCCTCATTCCGAGCGATGCAGGTGTAATTGCCGTTGTGCATCAGGGAGAGGTTGGAAATCCTCAAGGAGCTTGTGAAGTCAATGTTGTCGATGGTTACGCCCAGGCTCGCTGGGATGGGCCGGCCGTCCTTCTGCCAGGTGATGGTGATTGGTAAGTCCCCTGAGACCACGACACATGGGATGAAAACCCTCTGTCCTATGGAGAATCTTGGAAACTCAAAAGGTTGGATAAAAGGTGGAACTGAAAGAAAAGGAAAAAAAAAAAGTAATGGAGGAACAATAATAATGAATTGAGCACATACTCTACATTCACTTTTTCTTTAACCTCTTTGTGTTCCATTGAAAGGGTAATACAATCACTGACAGAACATATCTCATTCAGTTGATCTGGGTTGGATCTGAGAATTTGCATCTCTAACAAGTTCCCAGGTGGTCCTGGGACCAGATTTTGAGACCAGTGACTTAGTATATGTCAAGTTGCTTAAAAATGTGCCACACAGGCTTTTCAAAGGCTAATCTCTTGCTTTGAACATCTTATTTTAAACCATAACAACACTCTATGCTATCGCATTTCTTGGCCTAAACCAAACTCGTTGCCATCGGGTCGATTTCAACTCATAGTGACCCTACAGGACAGAGCAGAACTTCCCCATAGAGTTTCCAAGAAGCACCTGGTGGATTCGAACTGCTGACCTTTTGGTTAGCAGCCATAGCACTTAACCATTATGCCACCAGGGTTTCCTGGTCTAAATGAGATATTGGAAATTCAGGCACACTGATGAGGACTCAGCAAGAAGCCACAGTCAGCAACTAAAGGAGGCCGAGAAACTAAACACTAACTATAAAGAGTAGACACAAGAATTCCATGCACCCAGCACTTTGGGACATTTTGGGCTGTGGCCCACTACCCTAAATAGCCACATGTTTTTGCAATTAATACAAAACCAGAGGACATAAGTAAGACTCTGAATCATAAGTACAGTTAATACATTAAATGTAAAAAGGAAATATCCTATCTATTTTAAAATATTTTAAAAACATTGACACTATAAAACACTCTAAAATAATTAAAATAAGATTTTCATGATAAAGGAAAGATTTGGCTAGAGGGAAAAGTCATTTTCCCAAAATAACATCCAAATCAGACTTCTTTCTCGTTGTGTTTGTCATATTATATCAGAATGCAGGTCACTATCTGTTGTTGTTAGCTGTTCTCGAGTGGGCCCCTGACTCATGGTGATCCTGCGTACAATGGAATAAAACACTGCCTGGTCCTGCACCATTCCCATGATGGGTCGTGGAGCAGACCATTCTGATCCACAGGGTTATCACTGACTGATTTTCAGAAGTAGATCACCAGACCTTTCTTCCCAGTCCCTCTTAGTCTGGAAGCTCCATTGAAATCTGTTCAGCATCACAGCAACGTGCAAATCTCCACTGACAGATGGGTGGTGTCTGCGCATGAAGTGTATTGGCTGGGAATAGAACTCAGGTCTCCCACATGGAAGGCAAGAAAGCTCATCATTAGTATACCATTAAGAAACCACCAGGCCTGTATGTCAACCACCTGGATTCTCTCTCCTCACCCCACCTGCTGACTCTCTTGCTTCACGCCATAACTCACAATGCTGTTGTACAAAATTCTCAAAAAAAAATCTTTTCAAAGGTCCAAAATCTTAAATTTTCTATACAGAAGTTATAAAGTTGGAGGCAAAAATAAGCCAAGTGACTCACAGCCTCTTACACTGATTTCAGTAAAAGCAAACCATCCCTTTGAGACACATCAATTACTTAATCCGATTCCTTATGTCATCCAAATAAAAGGTAAATTCCCCGAATCTTGTCGGCAATGAACGCTTGTAATATTACAGGAGCAGGAATTCTGAATGTGACATGTAACAGGTTTTGACTAACCTTTCTACGAGAAGTATGTAAATATCTGCTAAATGTCACGTATTACTCGGTGTGTGTATTTCCTCTGCACCAGGCTGGGTTTCCTCTCTCTGTGGCTGCTCAGAGCCACTGGATGCTGCCAAATGCCAGCCTGGATTCATCGTTTCTCAGCCCTCAACAAGAAAGTTAAATTAGGCTATGTTTTCATGTCTTTTCCCTCAAGGAGGAATTATATATTCCTTTTCATAAGGAATAGATATATATATTTCTCCCCTACAGAGGGGCACTACCACACGTTGGGAAAAAAACATGGGTTTGGTGTCGGTCAATCGTGGGCAATTCACTGTGTTGTCTTGATCCGATTTCTTTAACTCTTTGATTCTGTTTCTTCATGTGTACAATGGTGATCATGAAATACACTGCAGGAGAGTGTTTGGGAGGGCTTTTACAACAAACCCAGCACAGAGCCCAGGTGGTGCACGGAAGCATCATTCTCTCTTCCCTCCTCCTGCCCCTTTCTTTGACCCAAGGCCCACAACTCACTGGGAAAATCAAATACATTACATGTATGTTGAGACATACGGAGACTACTTTCATTGCAGGTGTTGTTGCTAGCTGCAGCTGAGTCAGCTCTGACTCATAGTGACCTTCTTTATAACAAAAACAAACCATTGCCCAGTCCTGTACCATCTTCATGATAGTTGGTATGTTTGAGTCCGTTGTGGGGGCCATTGTGTCAATCCATCTCACTGAAGGTTTCCCTTACCTTCACTGACCTTCCACTTTATCAAAACATGATGTTCTTCTCCAGGAATCAGTCCCTCCTGATGACACATCCAAAGTAAGCGAGTTGACATCTCCAGCTATATTCTGTGGTCTGTACGGTTTTCACTGGCTAATTTTTGGAGTAGATCACCAGGCCTTTCTTCCCAGTTTGTCTCAACCTGGAAGCTCTGCGGAAACCTATTCCCCATGGGTGACCCTAGTGGCATTTGAAATACTGGTGGCACAGCTTCCAGCATCACGGCAACGCATAAGCCACCACAGTGCCACGACTTGACAGAAGGGTGGTGGCTGTTTTCTTTACCACGCATCATTTCATCAATTCCACCTTTTGTCACCTCATTTTGCATTGTAGTCTAACTCCATGACGGAGTCTCACGCAATCCTCAGGATGACAGCTCTTGGTCTCAGACTGTTCAAACGGCCCTGCCTCAAGCCAAAGTCTTCTAGATACGTATCTTCAAAGATACTACAATGGACATTTTAATCTGCCCAGACCTTATGCATTCTCACACCTCCTTTTCTACATTCTGCCTAACAACCTCTTTCTTCCCATCTTTTAACAACTTTTCTTTCCCTATATCTTACTTACTTCATGAAATCTCCCCAAATGGTACCTGCTCATCCAGCCCATTTCGAGAACACAAATCCCATGGCTGGTCTCTGAGAGGCAAACCCCAATTACACACCCATCCTACATGCCTGCCTCCACACTGGGCAAGTCCAGGACCTGCAGAGGCTTCAAGCTCTGCACTGTCCATTCATATGCCGTCTGTGACTCGAGCAATGAGGCTGGTGAGCTTGTGTGACTTTGAGTCAAGCAACTCACTTCATGGGCTCCCCACCCACAGGACTGGTTATGTGTCCATTTCTGCCGCTTGGCAAAACACTTTAGATTTCCAAAATTGTAGATTACTGACTTCAGCTTGATACAGTTCTCCACTCTATACACACAACACAAGTTAGCTGTTCCTCCACCCACGCCAAGAACCTGTTGTCAAAAACTCTATCATAGAATACATGACAGCACATCTCATGTGAGTATAGTGATCTATACGCGGTCTACTTATTTGAGTGAACCAGCAGGACAGGAGTGGTATTGAGTTTATCCTTTATTATTTCCCACAATTTGTGGCACAGTGCCTTGTGTGTGTTAATTGCACAATAAAACCAAAATCAGTTGCCATGGAGTCGATTTGGACTCACAGGGACCCTAGAGGGTAGAGCAGAACTGCCCCATAGGGTTTCCAAGGAGCAGCTGGTGGATTTGAACTGCTGACCTTTTGGTTAGCAGCCCAGCTCTTAACCACTGCACCACCAGGGCTCCAATTGCACAACAGTTCTTTGAAAGTACCTTTTGGAGGTGACGATGAACACGGCTTTACACTGAACATTAGACAGATCTACAGTCACGACTAGAAAAGGAGGCTATGACTCACAGGTTAGGATGCAGCAATGGGATGACAGGGCAGGGGTGGGGCTCATGCTCACAGACTGTCTGCTCTAGGGGCCCAGAACTCCTAACTGGCAGTTCCACTGGGCAATCCCTCCCCCTGAAAGTTGGGGAGACATGGTCAAGACCTGGTCTTGTTTATTCAGGTATGGCCACTCATGACAACTCTGAATTGCTACATGAGCTTACGCCCTGAGCTGGGAGACCTCCAGGCCATCGGTAGCCAGAGCTGCTTCCGGCTCAAATGAATTTTAGGCTGCTGATCCTGGATCTATGCTTGAGAAGGGCCCAAGCCTCCTGGAGGAGGCAGAGGCATTAGGCCAAGATAAAGGAAGGCCTGATGAGGGAGTAAGAACATCGTTCGAGCCAGCAGGTGCTAAAAGAACCAGAAGCTTAAGCAGGTTCGCGTAAACTTGGGCTCCTTTTTTTTTTTTTTTTAATTGACTAATTTTATTCTATACATCTTAAAAAAGAGGACTATTTGATTTTTTAACAATTTTATTTAATCAGTTATTTATCCAACAGGTATTTATAGAGTGCCCAGAAAGATGTGGCAGTCTGCTTCTATAAAGATTACAGCCTTGGAAACCCTATGGGGCAGTTCCATTCTGTCCTACAGGGTCACCATGAGTCGCAATCAACTCAACGACAACGGGTATTTTTTTTTTTTTAAACTTGGGCTCCTTTGGTGCTTCTTTTTGACCTCTCACTCTGAGCTTCCGTTACTGTTCAATATGAACTGATATTAACTGACACCCACACATTGCCTACAAAAGAAAGGCAAGGGGGAGCTCTGACCCTGACTTTTGGGTGGGAAGGGCAGGGACAGAGGAGCAAGGCAACGTCACTACAGTGTGGTTGGGATGACTTTCAGGGTCAATAACTAAGGTTTCCTTACAGAGTCATATCTTGGGCATGTTTGGGACAGCTGAAGCAATGCAAAAAATAATAAAAATGAAAACATATTGAGAGTGTCTATTTTTCTCTGGGCATAGATTGGAAATACCACGTTTAAATTTTTGTGGCTGAATTCAGTAGGAGGTTTGGATGTATTTTAAAACCAGTTGACATTGGATTCTGACTCATGGCAACCCCATGTGTCTGAGAGTACA